TTTTTTTTTTTTTTTTTTTTTTTTTTAGGGGGGCGGGAAAGGCAGATAGACATTCCTCCCCTTTAATAAAGTGAATGATAATGTTGGGTCTAATGTAGCCTATGTCTAAAATGACTTATCTGCCATTGGTAAGAAACTACTGTCCCCATGACAAGAAATCTGTCTAAGCCAGCTTAGTGTAAGCTTTGTACCCTAAACAAAAAGAAGTACATTAGTAATTGACCCTAGAGAGTAGAGTATTTGAAAACTGCCTGTTGTTCCATCTCCTACTTTCCTTTTTTAACCTTATCATCCCCTTCTCACATCTTTGGCAGCGTATCCCCAAACTCCTATTCTCCTTTTCTTGGTAAACCTTATTCTGTCTCCATTAGGTCCCTTATTAGACACTATGAGCCTAACAGAAAAAAGCAGCTCCCAGTAGTACAATTCTTACCATTTTATAGATTACATTGCTAGATATATTTGGCTATGCACTTGCCAACTACTACTGACTTAGCTCTTCTAACATATGTAGAGATCAGCACATTATCTGATGTTAGAAATTATTCCCCTCATTTACATTAAGAGGGAGGCTTTTTCTTTGGCGAGTTACAATTTTTTTTTTGGTAGCACACAGATCACCTACCTTCCTTTAGGAAGATGCCTAGGCAACCATGAAGGCCCCAAAGCATAGCCCTGACGGACAGAGTAAAAGGTGTAAGGAAGGAGGACTTAGGAAAGGTCACTTTCAAGTCCCATCTAGAAAGGGGAGTGGTGCCAGCACGGCAAAATGGATTGGTAGGAACTGTCTTCTCAAGGAGCCTGTTGTGAACAGTTTTGGGCCCTGACGCTAGCACTTTGAAATGGCACCTTTAGGCAGTAGGGAGCCCTGTACATACCCGGTTGTGGCCATGTAATGTGACTTGGCCCCCACACATTTCCCTGAGAGAAAGCCTGAATCCCTCTTTTCCTTTCTTTTCTTGCTTTATTCTGCTAGTAACCAACCTGCACTGAACCTTCAGTTTACGTGCCCTCCCCTGGTTTAGCCCCGCTTCTCTGAGAGAGTCTGCAAAAAGGAAAAGGTACCTGTTCCAGCTCTTGGTAGGTTGGGAGTCTGAGGTGACGGAGCTCCTCCTTTGATTTCATGAAGGATTCTTTATTCTCCCACTTGACAAAAGCCCGCTTTCTGACCAAGAGTGGACTGGGGCATGGAGAGGTAGGACTGGGAAGCACGTACAGAGTGTCCTGGGCTGTCTTCCTTGGGGAAGACAGTGCAAAAGGATCAGAAGGGCCCTCACTGCCAATCCAAGGCAGTGATTCGGTCTGGGTGGCCTTGTGGGCGACAGTCCTCTTTAGCCGAACAGAAATCTTCTGTGAGGACACTCCCATGAGCATTATGGTCCGATCTTTGCTTTCTTCACTTTGTTCCACAGCCTCCCCATTATGGAATGGAAAAGGTCCATCCTCAGGAGCTGTAGGAAGACACATGACATGTTAGTGCTCTGGGTAAGAAAAGCAGACTCAGATTGACACAGTTTCAAATGAGATCTTTCTTATTGTTACAGGAATTCCAGAGGCCCAAAGTGGACTCATTTTCAGTCACCCATTTAGGGGATGAAGAGGACTTTGCAGGCCAAACTATGGCCACTGGTATCAGGCTGTATTCACCCTGAGGAAAGGGCATCTTTTTCTGTTTGCACAAAGGCTGCCTAGAGGGTTTCTGTTTCTGCAGAAAAATGGAAGCCCCTGCCTCAGTGCTGTCATGTTTCATAAATACCTTCAGTAGACCCTGGGATGTGGTCCTGATACAGGGGGCCTTGAACAGCTGGTAGGAATTCTCTGTGGCACGTATTGCCCATTTGTACAATAGGCACAGCTTAACTGTGAGAGGGAAGTTCTAGCTTTGTGGAAGTGTATCAAAATCTATTGCCCTCCTTTGATACTGATTAGAAAAGGAGAGAGGAGTCATTCTGGTTTTCTTCTTAGAACCAACAGCCTGACCCAGGGCCAGCCTAGAAATTAACCAGAAGTAGTAAGTTCTTGGAGAAAGAGAGTAGGAGTGGACGAATTTGAGATGGGTAGTAGACTTTAAGATAGACAGCAGATCATCTGTTTACTGCTTTGCAAAGACAGCAGTAATTTTAAAGTATGCTTTCCTATTAGAATTTTACATATCTATTTCTGTTCCCCATCTCTGCGTTGGTATAGCCAAATGGCTTCTGGACAATGAAAGTTCTCTACTTAGCATTTGTAATGTGAATCAACAGTTTTAATATTAGAAACCTTTTAAGGATCCTAGTTTAATTTTTCCCTACAGGAACATAATTTAAATTAGCATTAAATATTTACCCAAATAAAGCCCAAAATTATACTGTTATTTAAATACCAGAACAAATTGTTATATTCACTCTAAAATAATTATGCTTTCTTTTCTGGAGGCATAGGATGAGTATAAAAAGGTATATAGCCTTTTCCAGACTTCACAGTTAGACACCAGACCTCTGTGTTACTCTCTGCCACTTTCCTCCCATGAAAATTTGGATTTTATGTGACAGTTGTGCCCAAAGATGATGTATAACTCTTAAAATACAGGGTGCATTGTATACAGGTGTGTCTTCCATAATGGGATTTGTGCTGGTTTCCATTAAGAGACAGTTAAAAGTAATCTTTTCTCCCTGAAAACTTCACCCTTCTCATTGCACTTTCCAAATGAATGTTCCCAGTGCCTCCTTACTGTGGAGCAGATCTTTGGCTCCCAATGAGCAGAGGTTGAACGTTGGCCCCACAGAGGTGCTGTTCTCTGTGAGAGCTGCTGAGTTCTTGGCTCGCTTCTTGCACTCGAATACAACCAGGTCTTTGCATTGCTTGTGGCAGTTCATCCCGCAGTCTGTGGACAAGACACCTGGTCAGAAGGGCTTTCAGTTTCTTCCCTACGGTCTCAAAACTGCATTCTTACAGGGCCCTCTTGTCACACATGCCATCCTATCTTGTGGAGCTAGGACACCTAGCATTGCTAATGAACCCAGAATTCTCATTTGGTCAATCCTGGGTTGCACAGTTTTGTCGTAGCCCCTATCATGAGTCTCAGAAGCATCATCTTTCTTTGGAGGGAAGACGTGGTTCGGTTTTCCCACACATACTGCTTACTCTAAGGAGATCCTCTGCAGGCTCCCAGCTGTTAGGGCTTATTCTTCCTTCCCTGCAGTAAAAGGTCTCCTTTCCTTCATGAGGTATCTACTGATAAAATGGAAGCTGACAAGGGCCTTTGGCAGTCACTTCTGTTCCAAAAGTGATTCTATGCCTTTCATTGGGGATCTACCTCTCAAGGCCTTATGGGAGCATAACCTCCTGCCAGCCATCCCTATTTCCAAGGTGGAGAGAGGATTTTGTAAGGGGAAGCTGCATAACTGGTCACCCAGGCACTCCTCTCGTGTGGTGGCAGTCACACTCAGGGGTTCCCCTAGGAAAGCCAGTTTAAGGAGGAGGCTGTGCTGAGAAGCTGCGGGCTGAATGGACAACTACTATGAGTAAACAATGCTTTATTATAGGAGAACACCTAAGACCAGGGAAAACAATGCAGTCAACAGAGCTGCGCCTTACGTACCTTTACATCGATATCCTTGCTTGATCACGCCCCAGAGCTGTGAGACAAGATACGCCACACGTCACTCATCTATCTGGTAGGAGGCTAGGAGCTGACATCCACCCTTGATTTTCCCTCATTCTACTTTTCTACCTCAAGTGGGAGGGAAACTTCATTTCTCTCTCACATGTATTGTCCCTCCTGACCTTAAATTGAAAACAGGAAGGATTCGTCGTTATCAGTCACATGTTCTCAAGAAGCTCATAGGTTTTATGAGCCAGGCCTTCTCTAGGCCATAAGTTGAATCGTAGGACAAACAGCCTTCTAGGGACCCCAGACCAAGAACAAGTCTGGGGTGAGGGACTGGGTTTGGGAGGAAACTGCTGGTCAGGGTGGGACAGAGCACAGGCAGAACCCAGATGACTTCTTAAAGGTAGCTCCTTTTGAAGTGCGGAGGGGTGATGATGATGTTGCCTATTTATTTTTCCTAACATTTGGAACAGCATACGAATATATAATACTTAAAAATATATATACCAAATTTAATTCTTCCTTACCATTTACCCAAGGCCTTGTACCAGAGGGAAAAATAAATCAGGAAGGAATGGGTAAAGATGAGGGCCAGTGAAGCCATACATTTGAGGACCTGTTTATTCTAGGTGTTTGCTTAGGCTCTAAGCTGGGATCACTTGATAAGGGTTGTGAGGTCTGTGCCTGTCTTAGTTATTTAACTTGTCTGATACTCCTCCCCAAGTTCAACCCTGAGGCACTCTAAGAAGAACTTACAAATCCAGCACAGTTGTCACAGAAAGTAGGCTTCAGGTAGGTTGTCTCTTGGAAGTTGTGAGGAAAGCCCAGGCCCAGCTTGGAGTAGATTGAGCTGGCCCTCATGAAGTAGGCCGTGATCTCTTCCCTGCTGATGAGGCCTTCCCTGCAGTGGACGACAGACCAGGATGTGAGGGGGGATCAAGGGTGGCTTCCAACCCTAGAAGTTCACCTTTCTTTTCATCCCTGAATGTTAGTACAGGAGGTGTTACCTGGTCATTGCTGCCATGAGCCCTCCTCTTAATCATACACGAATAGCTTGTAATAAGTAGTCGAGACAGCATTACTCATTTTTATAGAGTTCTTTGGCTAACCTAGGTTTTCCCAACTAATTTAACCACTATCTACAAGACTTAAAAAAGAAATGATGGAAAAATTGTGTGTATAGGGAGAAAAATACCTTATGATGCAGTTTCTGACTTCAGAAAGTGCATAATACATACCTGGAACCCACCAACCATATATTTGGTTTTATATAGAGAATGAAGATAAAACTTATATAACCTTGCAAAAAGTAAATACGCAGGTTATTAATAAATACTAGTTTCTCATATAATCTGTAAGGACAAAACAAGAAGGAAGACTAAACTTTTAAAATTTCATAGCTGACTATTCCTAAACTGGCTTCATGGTCTCTTGTGGTCTAAACCAAACCCAGGTAGGCATTCATTTGATGATTGCTCTCTCAGCCCCAATATCTTAGCCCTAGTATTCATTAAGTGATCAGAGCAGCAGCACATCCAAGTTTATAAGTTCTTCTAGTGACACACCACACACTGCTTTTACCAAAGGACTCATAACCACATGTTCCCCTATGCAAGCCCTCACCTGTCTTTGTCCATCACACAGAATGAAAATGGAAAACTTGCAGCAATTTTTTCAAATTCTTCCTGAGAAATGTATCCATCTTGGTCATGATCATAGTTCTTGAAGACAGACTGTGAAAAAAGGAAACCAATCATTTCTTCCTTTAGATAAACGACAAAGGGGTTAAGAATGAGAGGAACAAGGGAACATGCTTGCGAAGCTGCTGCAACGATGCGTGGTCACATCTGGGCGTGGCCAGGTGCTTTCGATGCATTAGCATACCGTTACTCCGCCACCTTGGCTAGTGTGCTCCTCGCTCATGCCCAGAGGATGCTCTCCCTCCGCTCTGCCCTTCACTGCTGGGCTCAGATGGCACCTTCTCTGAAGCTTTAGCTCCACTGGAAGTGCACCTTCCCCATTCTTGTCCTCAGCTGCTCATTGTCCTGTCACTTTCTGGCTCACTCTTTTCTGTTGTTATGCTGGAATGGTCTGAATCAAGTACTGCCAAGATTTTCAGATTCTCATTACCTTTTACTCAAACCTTTTCCAACACCTTTCTGCCCCCAAATCAACTGGCAACCTTTAAATATATACTGTCCTCCTAGGTCTTTAAGAGGAGGCTCACCTCCCCCCATCTAAGGCCAAAATGTGTTGGCACAATGTAACTCCTGGACGGTTCTAGAGCCACAATATGAGAAACGTGGTTCCCTGTGCTCACATAGGAGTGAGTTTCAAGTTTCTCACCCTGTTTCTACTGCTGCACCCCCTCCCCTTCTCCCGACATAGAAAACGAAGCCTGGCTGTACTTACATCCACCATCCGCTGGACGTGTTTACTTATAGTCTTTGGGTCCGGTTTGGGAGACACTCCAGAGGCCCAGTCCACTACTACTGGTGGCTTTGAAGGTGTTAGTGGCTAAAATGAAATAAACAGAGACATCCCCGTGACAAATGCAATATAATCCACAGCTCCTTCCTTTCTCACTACCTGAGGGCTGCGGACAACCCCCAACTATGTGCTGTGGCAAGGAGCAGAGAGCCCACACCCTGAAATTTAGAACGGTAATCCTAGCTAACACGAGCACTGTGTCTTCCTGTTTACAAAATGTTGCTCACATACATTATCTCCATCTACAGATAAAGTTCTCAACCTACCTTTGTTTCAATTCCCTCTCTTCAAACCTTTGTCAAAGCTACCAACAAAGAGTAAAGAGGGTCACTTAAACTCCCTCTCTGTTCTCTCTATTTAGTAGAGAGAGAGATGAGGCGGAAAATAGCTAAAAGGCAGGAAGACACATAAGAAAAATCCGAGGCCTAGACAAGCTGAGATGGAACCCACTCTTAAGTATTTAAGACTTGGCCCAAATTGAAATGTCTTCTAAAAACAAGAAGGTACCCTTTCCATTGAAATGCCTTCTAACATTCTGAAAATGGGATCTATCAAATATTTTCAGTGAACATCTTCCATTACAGTAGGAAGGTAGAACTTGATCTTCGGTATAGACAATGAAATTTAGCCACCTGAACAGGTAAGCTGAATTTCACATGTCCAGGCAACTCCCTTCCCTTGAGTACCACTTATTTTGAGGCTGGGAAGCTTCCCAGGACACTGTGGGGAAGTATTGGTCACTTAGAAGGTAGATGGGTAATTAAACCTGCCTGTAGGGAACCAGGGCCAGGTATCCTGTGATGTTCTGACTGCAGCTCGAGGACCGTGCTGTTGGTGGTCCTCTCTGCACAGGGGGTCAAAAGACTTAATAGCCTGCTCTTTCTGACCCAGGGACTGTAGCACAATGGGGCTGCTCTATCTACCAAGCTGGAAATCCTCTGAAGTTAGCTTCTGATAGTGTGCATATTGCTTGCATTTTCATCAACAAATCACAGAAGGGACACTAATGTGGGGACACTTTATAGTAAATAGGAGGGGGAGGTACTGGCCCACAGTACTCTCTCCCATCTCTAATGTAAACCACTGACTCCACCACTCATTCATGCTCTCACGACATTTAGTTAGTTACGGTTCACACATCAGTTACCCCTTCAAAAAGACTAGGCTCTTTGGTGAGGAACTGTTCCTCACACAAATGTTGAAGCTTTCTCTGTTCCTAGCATAAGGCTGGGCACACAGTAGAAACATAATACTCTTATGAAACTGAACTGAAAGTCTGTTCCTTCAGATGAATACACCTGTTACCTGCAAGAATCATAATAGGAAAACTCACTGGAGCTCTGTGGTTCCTTGGTTCCCGGGCATAGGAAAGCTCATAGATTTCATCTTCAGTGTAGTAGAGATCTAGGGATAACTGGATCAAAACAACAGGGTTAACTGTTAGGATGCTAGATTTCTTTCTTGGTTCTTCCTTACCAGTGGTGTACTCTTCTAGTCTCTTAGTAGTTTTTTTTAAAATTCGCAATAGGGCCAACATTCTTAATTGTTAAAATGTTTTTAAATTTTGGAGAAGTCTCAAGATGGTCTCACTTAAACTACAGTTTAATCTCTAAGCCTTTATGTAGACTTTAGGCCCTATGTGGTCAAAAGGTCCACACTTCACTTGTTCTATCCCCGAGCAGAGAGATGATCTGAAAGAATAGTTTGCATGGCCTGATACTATAAAAACTTGATTATCGCACCAGAACCCAGTTTAAATAATGGTATTATTAAACAATATTAAGAGTTAATAAATTCCACATATATATTAGAACTACAACATTTTAGAGGAGAGAGGTCTTACAAATAATCTTGTTCTGAACCTATAATCTATGGATGGGCTTCAGGAGGTTCAGAACTCAAAAGTATCTGTTTTATGTATATTTTTCTGGGATGAATGTTAAGCTTTCATCAGAGGATTTGTGATCCCCCAAAGTTAAGATTCTGTACATCTTTCCACAGATGATGGTGTGTAAGGCCAAGACCAAGGCTGCCTGGCCATTAGAGAAAGGGCTAGGATTAGACACCAGCTGGATGCAAAGCCCGGGGCTCTATCAGAATCATCCTGTGAGGTAGGAAGAAGCTATACTTACTCCATTCTGCAAAAAAAGCACATTAAAGACTGTATAACTTCAGAACTGAAAGAGAAGTTTGAAGTTAGCTTCTAGACGAATCCTTCTGGTTTTACAGAGGAGGAAACGGGCTTAGAGTTATATGCCTGCAGTCACACAGCTGGTGAGCTGCAGAACTGCAGGTCTGGAAGGCAGTCATCTGATCCCCCTGCACTCAAAGTTCAAGTCCTGGTCCCTGCACTACTGAAGTGTTCACTTCCCCTTGACTTGAATACCTCCAGGAATAGGAATCCAAATAATGAACCTGTTTTTCTTTTTTTTCTCACTCGTTGCTTGTCCTTTTTTATGAGAACACACAGTCTCCATCTCTTACCAAGCCTGTGTCCTGATCTGCTCTCAGCTCCTCCCACAGAGCTTAGGACTGACTGCTTCTGCAGGAAGAGGGGAACACTCCTAGGAGTTGGAAGGGCATACTGCTGAAGAGGACAGCCGCTGGGGTCCTAATCCCTGGGTCTGAACCCAGACTCTACTGCTTATTAATGTCTAGTCCTCTGGACAATTATGTCTTTGTGCCTCCATATCCCCATCCATAAAAAGGGTAATAGCAGTATCTACTTCCTAGTTTGTATGAGGATTAACTGAGCTAATATTTGGTAAGGTGCAGAGAGTGGTGCCTGACACCCAGTGCTTATTTATCGTCTCCCAGGTGAGCCTCACCGTCAGCAGGTGCACCAAGTCCTTATTGGCCTCCAAGGGCGGGGCCACCTCCTGCAGCTGGACCAGTTCGTTGATATGATTGTAAAGGGCCAGCAGCTTGTGGACGTTCACCTTCCCATCCTCCAGGTAGTCAGGCATGGCTTCATACAGGGAGATGAGGTCCTTGAGATGCACCCCCAGGATGGGGATCTTGAAGTGGGTACACTCCCCATAGGCTCGCCGGTAGTTGTCATAATTTCTACAGGAGGACAGCAGTTCTGTCATCTCACCCAGGACCTGAAAAGCAGAAGAGGAGACCCAATCACTGCACTTGTCAGGCAGGTTTTACTGTCTGCAGTGGCCACCTTGTCTGCTTTCAGCCTCCACCATGATTGGACCCCATCCCTAATCTGTTGGGCAGGGGTGCTTCATCTAGAAGGTGCAGATCATGATCCCAAATGAACACTCCAGCTTATGGCACAGAGTGCAGTTACAAACACAGGTGTGCTTTACTTGATTCTACTACACAACTGGAAAATTTTAAATGTCTTATCTTTTTTACACTAAAGTTTTTTCTTAAAAAATAAGCACCTGATATAAAAATCAAAAAGGTACAAGAGTACACAGTGACTAATGTGTCCCTCTGACCTCTGTCCCCAGTGTCTTGGGTCCTAGAGACACCACATTCCTTAGCATTTGGAATGTGGGATTAGAAGTGCTGAGGGTGCTGGCATGGGGGAAAGCAAGCAGAGCTTTGTTCTGCATGCTGCGCTCTGTGGGCCTTCTCTCATGACTCAACACAGGCCTAAGTCTAGGAAGCAGGTGACATTCCATTCACTGACTGAAACCCTGACCTAGAGAGAATGAATAGAGCAGACCAATTCCCAGCAGAGGATGGGGCAGAGGCCCCGTCCCACCCTGGGCCCTTGAAGGGGCAGGGCTGCTCACCACAAAACGGGAACAACCAGATCTGGGGTTCTTTCCAAACACCCTGGCTCAGGTCAGCCAGCGGCTCACAGAACCCCACTCCCCATGTACTGACCAGCTTTCTCAGAAGACTGTCTGCCAATCATGTTACAACACAAAATTACCATTGTTAACACTGTGCCGGAAATTCTTTTAATAAAATTGTGGCCTAAGAAGAGCCTGAGGTTCCAGAGTTAGCCCCACTCAGTCACTCTGAGCTGGAGAGCGCCCCCTCCTCATACACCCTTAGCAAACAGTGCTGGGGAGTGTGAGTAGGGAAGGTGCTCAAAGATGAGACTAACAGCAAAAAATGATGTTTCTGTTCTTAGAAGGTGAAATAAATGATGGGGGGACACTTGCTTTAATGCTAGACTTAACTAATTCATTCTGCACACCACCCAGAGGGGCAGCAGCTACAGACAAGGAAACACTGGTATTGGGGACCCCGAGCGGGAGAGGAGCGAGCTGTATCTTATAAGTGAGATGACACGAAGGCACATAAGCTCTGTGACTACCTCCTTCTGTCACCTCTGTGACATGGGCAATCTATTCAGCTGTCCTGCCTGGTCTCAGAAGAACTATTACAGAACTACTAGAGAATTATGAGGTGCCCAGACCACTGGGAGGAGTGGGTCATTTTCCTCGGAGCCGAGCCCTGTGAGAGCAGGGATGGTTGATTAGAGGCTCCCCAAAGAAGGCTGCACACCTGGGAAAATGGATGGGATAATGAGGCACAGAGGTCTCTCCCTAAGAAGGGAGTCTCTGTGCCAGCTTGGGAGGATTGGGGTTTGAGATTAGGAAGGGAGGGCTGGTCCTCTTACATGAGATGAAAATGCTCAGAGCAGTCATGTAATCCATACCACACACATCTGCACTGATATTTCCCATATACCATAGTGTTTATACCAGTCTTACGTTATAAAGTATTAAAGTCAATTCTGTAAAATCTAATTAAGAATGTAGGAAAATACATAGGATATTTAAGAAAAATATTCCTTAATGGAAACAAAATAGCACCTGAAAAGCTCATTTCCAATTATCTGGGAAAAATCTGCTATCCAGAATGTTACTCTCCTAGGGATCTGGAGAGCAAGGGTTTCATGTGTCACTGTACGAGTGCACTTGACATGCAGACTGGTCCACTGTTCCTTTGAGGAAAACATTCTGAGCAAGGGAGTAAGTATTAAAGACAGTGACTGACATCCAGTGGCACATGAGCCTGGGAAGGAGGCACACATGACTCTATCTGACCAGCAGGGACATGTGCAGTGAAACAGGAAGACTGAATCACAGCCACTCTCGGATCTGTGACACCCCCACCCTGCGGGTTTTCTTGGGGTTTGCCCCCTTGGTATTGCCTGGTTGACGGGATGGTGTGGTTCGCACATGCTCCCTGGGTTACTCCCTCAAGGAGGAAAGGTTGACACTGGCCCTAGGAATGTGCTAGGAGCTTCAGGAGAGAAAGTGGCACTGACCTTATTGATTTCGTGTGGGACGTGTGAACTGGTCTCCTTGAGCCTGGAGATGGAGCTGTGACACAGGCCGCCTATCACAGCCATCAAAGTATTGAAGTTCTGGAGTTGGTGGAGTTTCTGCAACACACAAAACACGTAAGAGTCACTGACCATGTCAGTCACATGCACGCTCAGAGGCTGCCTCCCGTCTCGGTGCCCTGTCTTCCTTACACTGGTTAAGCACTAGTGATTGGTGTTACAATTTTCTGTTCATGTCTCCCCTTAGGCTTAATTCCAGACCAGGAGATCCCAAGTCTAGCAAGGCGTCATGTCTCCCTCCCTCTGTGCTGCTGTCAGCAGACCACCATCTAGACCAGCAGTTTCTAAGAAGCACCCAAAGTACTTGTTTAACACAAAAATCTCTGCCCAGATATTCTGATTGCCCGGATCTGGGGTTGAGCTTAGCGATCTGTGCTTTTAATAGAGATTTAGTTAATATCGGAGCAGGCAGTACATGTATGAAACTTTGAGAAACACTGGTCTCAAACACTGGTTTCTCTTTGAGAAACCAGACCACCTAGAACTGGAAAATGTATCATTCAGCATAATATTATATATCTTCCACACCAAATTAACCAGGCTTTTGTGTTTTTGAGGACAAGGGCTGTCTTATTCTCCTGGACAGTGCCAGTGCCTATATAGGTCAGTAATTGGGACAGAGATGCTAGAATCTCTGGGGAATTTCATATGTGTTCACAGTACTGTAGGTCCTCGAATAACATCGTTTCAGTCAATGTCTTTTCATCATAAGGTTAATGAGATGCCTGACTCTTGTTTATATCAATTAGCCTACTAAAACTGGTTTCATTATGTCACAGACCTCTTGATGGCATTAAGTGAGGAATTACTGTAGCATTTCCTCTTATCAATTGCTTACATACTGCCCCTCAAACACTAAACTCAGACATTTAACACGGCATGGGCCCAAAGACCTGACAACTCCAGCCCCAGGAAAACTTGGTCTTGCCCTCTCCTTTGTTACGTGGGCCAGATTTGAGAAAACAGCGTAGGCTGGTAAGTACCTTCTAAGAAATATTAAAGATCTAAACAGATCCAAAACCATATCCTGACCCGAGGAGGCCCTCTCCATAGTGCCCTTCTGTGGGAAATAGAAAAGTATCCACATCTGGACCTCAGGACAGTTCAAGGCCCACTAACCGCACCGTTGCTCAGGAGGGAAAAGACATGGCTGCAGGGAGAGGGGCTAATTCCCCTCATAGCCCAGTCCATACCCTTCCTCCGCCACTCACCTGGGCCACCTGGATGAACTTGATGAAGACTTCGGCTCTGAGCTGCGGGGTGGGGCGGCTGAGCACCATCAGCTGCACCCACTGCGAGATGCCGTTGCACAGGGCTATGGACCGCTCCATGGTGGGGTTCTCCTTCACGCAGCTGTTCACCAGGTAATTCTGATAGTCGGAGAACTGGGGGGGAAGGAACCCATCAGGACTGCTGCTCTGGTGTTCTGGGAGATCCCAGGGGCAGGGTCACCTCTGTTCAGTTGATGGCTTGGAACTGCTGTGGGCCAGAGGAGCTCTTGGCCCCCCTCTCCTGTGTCCTCTACTTGACTGACGAAAACGTGGGAAGGAAACCTTCTACCCACAGCACCGTCTCTACACCAAAAGTCATTAGGCACAAGTGGATGTGTACCAGGTACTTCAACACACTAGTTAATTCAAATTGTATTTGGGTAGATATTGGTACTTCTAAATTCTAAAGAATACAGAAGAAAAACCTCAGCCCTAATTCCACCTCTGTGGCTGAAGTTAAGGGGAAAAAAGGAATTTGTAAGACTCTCCTCCCTGCCCCCACCCCGATGCTCTCCATCTCCCTCCCTCCCTTTCTCCCCCAGCTGTTTCCATGCCTTAAGCATGGGATGATAAATCTGCTCTATCTAGCACATGAAATTGTTATGAAGATCAAACATGATAAGGTGTGAAACTACTTTAACTTTTCAAAGTGCTACATAAATGTGAGGTGGTGCTCACAGGATAATTATCACCTTCGAGCTAAAACAAACCTGTGTGAGTTTCCTTTGAACTCGAACAGAGGCCAGGTGAGCTGGGTACATGAAACCTGGTTAGCTAATTCTGTGACCAGAGTTTCCCAACTAGACAATAGCCCTGACTATGGTTGACAGTTGAACAGCATATGGGAAACTGGAAACGTCCCGGAAGGTCGCTATAGAAGCGATGACTGTAGCAGTCATCCCTGCCCCAAACAATCCTGCTCAGGTAGGATAACCAACAGGAGGTGCCAGCTCCCCGCCCCAGCTGCTTCGGAAGGTCCTGGTGCTGCTCGCCAGGTGCGACCAGCTCTTCGCTCCTGAACTCACCCTCTGAAGTCAGGTGTGACCGTGTATGTAGCACAGCTCAGCCAGCAGCATTTAAGTGGAAATGATGTGACTTTTGAGGGAGATATGAGAGCCACTGAATTATCTGCCACGTTGCCCTTCCACCGCTGCAGGGAGTGTGGAAGCTGTGTAAAGACAAGCCTCCCGCATCCCGTCCCCGAGTGGCTGTGATCGGCAGGGGCCTCTGCTGACCCATGTCTGATGTGTAGCGTGAGTGAGAGACACTCTTTTGCTTTGTGGGGCCACTGAGATTGTGGGGGAGGAGCTGGGGGGGACTTCAGTATACATACTTCAGTCCTGCCTGCCTGGGAATACACTGATGAGAGAAACTCACAACCTAAATAAAATAAATGCAAATTAACTGAGCCCCATTTCACTGTGCTGGGATTACTCACGGGGAGAAAACTGAGTAGGGCCAAAACCACTGCTTAGGAGAGACACACAGAGCAAAAATACTGGCTCTTACAGAAAATTCCCATGACTCATTCCAGTGAATTCATTTATATACCCCCCCTTCCCCTATAAATATAACACTGAATTCACTTGTTTTTTAAAAGAATTATCTCAGTAATCTCACCACACCCCCCCCCCACAAAGTATTATAATAAACAGAAAATACCAAGTGCCATCAATTCACAGCAGGGAGACACTTCCCTCTGATCTCACGATGGAGGGAAAATTATTGTTTGGGAAAACTAGAACTGTGGAGGGAAAAGAAAATGTCCCCCAAGCAGCCATCCTCTATGAGGTCACTATACCATTCAAAAGTAATGAGGGTTCCCAATGCTTTCTTTTGTAAACAGAGCACCGCCTCAACCCTAGGGAGCATAGGCTCAGAGTCCCTGTTCTACGCGGATTTTCTACTCCTGCCTCCGCTGGGCTGAGCACTGGCATCAGGCAGACATCCCCGGCTGACCAAGCAGCCTTGCCAGCTGGGCCCAGCACAGCTCAGATTTTCACTGTGACAAATTGCTCCCTTCAGCATCCCTCCCGTGACAGGGGAAGGTACTGCCAAATGGAAACTCCCCAGGCGGAGCCTCCCAGCCGGGTCCTGTGGTTCTGTCTGAGGGGCGCCAGTGAGGGGACTGAGGGGCTAGTGCAGATTAACGCTTCGAGACTTATCTCCAAATGGGAGCTGGGGGTTTCCTGGCTGGCTGGGCAAACAGCTGTGCAAAAACAGATGCCAGCATTATGGGAGAAAGGCTGAAATAACTTCTGTCACCTGGTTTGCAGGACTCCTTTCAAACAGAACCAGGCTCAGTACATTGGTGCTGAATGACAGAGACAGGCATGTAATTCCAGCCCCGGCTCTTAATCTCATAAACTGTGTGACCTTGTCGAGCCACCCCTCTGGGCCTCCATTCCCTCATCCGGGGAATACTGGCCATTCTAAGAAATGCATCCAGCAACTAGGCAATCTCCATTTCTAGAGCGAAGCTGAAGACTATTTTTCAGTAGGGGCAGGGGCTGAGTGAAGGTGTCCCTTCCCAGGAAAGCAAGTGGCCAGTGAGGGTCTGTCTGCGAGCCTCTGACGTGTTGGCAAGTTCTCTTGTATGGAACAGTGTTCTTTGGCATCATGTATGGAGATTGAAGGAGCAAGTTTGGGTCAGCATAGTTTATCTTTAGAATCATTGGCAATGGCTGGGCCATGTCAGCACCTTCATGGATTTAGGTATATTCTGGGCTGGACCAGTAACGTCTACTTTATTTGGGCATGTCCCAGAGCCGTTCAAAACCTGCCCTAGAATGAACTCAGTCTTAGAAGACACAGCTCCATTTTTGGGAGGGAGGAAAATTAAGAAACAAAATTTCTGGCAACCTAATGACTACCGGGAGTAAAAAGTGTGTGTGTGTGTGTGTGTGTACACTTGCGTATGCATGTGCCCGCTGCGTTGTCACTTGAGCGCAGGGTGGGGCAGGCATGGAGGATGGGGGGAAGGACAGCGCCCCAGGAACTCAGAGCGCACTGCTTCCCCCACGGCACAGGTGACAGGAGGCCCGCTGCCCTGAGGGGGCCTCTGGGGCTGGGTGGTGAGCAGGCTGCTGAATTTCTCTGCTTATGTTCAGAAATACTGCAGGGAAGTGCTTCCCCCGCCCCCGGTACATACGGATATCCTCCGGAAGGACTTGAACTCAAGGTAGGTGAGGTGCTCCGACAACTCTTCTGGCTCCAGGTGGTCAAAGAGCAGGGAGACTTTCCTTTTCTTGCTGGTGTTGGATTTTATCCTTTGAGTGAGTTTCCTGGACCAGTCGCGGGCATTGCTTTTGTGGTTAAATGTGCAAGACAGAAGATGGGGAAAAAGAATAAATTCAAATTGCTTTTGAATGCAAGTAAGTCCATTAACGTTTCACACAAGAATATGCAAGGAACCATTAGTTCACTTTCCTTGGCCAAAACAATGCATTAACAGAGCTTTCCCAAGTAGATTTTCCCATGGCAGCAACTAGGCGGCCTTGCTGGTTTCCTGTGAACCTTTTGAACGCTCCATAGGAATTGGGGACTCTTTTAAGGCCTTGGGAAGGACAGGGTCTCAAGCACTGGCCACCGTTTTCTGGTCTTTGGCCCCAGCTCCTTCCTCTAGGCCCTGGCACCTCTGCTCTCTCCATGCCTACTCTGTGTCCCTTCCTTCTATAAGGGTGCAGGGACTCTCCAACTGGTTAGAAATCTCAAGGTAGGAGGGTAGTTTTCATTTCAGAAGAGCACAGAGAGCCACGGAGAGATGTCATGCTGCAGGGAATCATGGGTAGGAACATGTGGTCACTGTGAGCAGACTGGTGGCATTTTCCTCCATGTCCCCAGCTGGTGTAGCTGATGTCCCCAAGGAGGCCTAGTCAACCCTGGAGTGCCCACCCCAACACCATTTTCTTGAAGCCAACCCATATGTTTCTGATTTAGTTTCAATTTCCTACACTAAGGAAGCAAAGGGAAAAGGTCATTTTGTGAGGAGCAGGTTACAGATCTGTTTCCCAAACTGGAGTTCCTGAGAACCTTGTCTCTCTACAGAGGGGTATGTGGTCAGATGAGTTTGGAAAATGCTACAAATTCTGTCTAGCCCCCTTGGCCAATGAGCATATTAGACTCTGAGATGCACTGCAAGTTTAACTCACTATTTCTCAAATATATCTGGTCGGGCACTATCCCATTGACTAATTCCTAAAGAATAGACTGGGAAATATTAGTAGAAGGAAGTCACCAAGGGACAAGATTTGGATTAGAGAACTGCCCTGGGGCCTAGATTCTGCATCTTTAAAATGAGGAAATTGTTACTTGAAAATCTCTTTTATCTTTTGAGTTGTATTATTCTAAGTAGGGAGGCACAGAGAAAGAATCCAAACTGACAGATCCGTTTATTTGGGACTATGATATGCCATTTTTAGTCATTTCTACATGGCTATGACCTAGTGCCCTGAGCTTCCGCTCTGCCACTAACTTAGCTGGCTGTGTGACCCAGACGGGCCAGATAGCCTTGCTGAGCCTCAGCTTCCCAGAATGCTGGATGAAACTATTTCTAGAATTTGTTTCAGTTCTAGAATTCTATATCCTAGGGATCTGCACCCTGTGAACATCTTAGCATGCAATGTGTGCACCCTCCCCTCCCAAATTAGGAAAGTATTCATTTTTCAGAGTGGGCTAGCCTCGCTAAATATGACATCCCAGGAGTAATGTGAAATATTGCTGAGCTTTCTGCAAGCTCCTGAGGTCTGAGTGTCTTCATAGACTCCGCATGTGTTACACGCCCTCTGCTCAGTACACTGTTGGCAGTCCCTTCCCCATTTTCAAGCTCGGGGGCCTCCAGGCATTAGCTGCTGAGTTTAGTCACTGAGCTTTCAGTTTCTCATGCTCTGGACACATTTTAGTCAATACCCTGCTACCTGATTTCCTTTTGACTGGGTCTTACATCTTTTCTGCTCGTGAATATTAGTCACCCACAGCTTTATCGCCAGGGACTTCTCTGCTTGCTTGTCAAATGTCAAGCTTTTCACTTTGGTGAGGTGATTTCAACCTGCCCATGGAGGGGCTTCTCCCAGCGGCAACAGAGCAACAGTCACAGCTGGGAGTCCGAGCCCAGCGGAGCAGAGATTCGTCCAAACCTGGACACTCACATTTGAGTTGTGTCGATCAGGCGGCAGTGCAGCTCCTCCCCGTGGGCTTTCACCAGTTCCTGGAACTCCTCCATAGTGTTTGTCAGGCTGGCATCCATTTTAAACATGGTCCAGAATTCTGTTATCCAGTACCTGCAAGGTGGGAGTTAGAAATCAATCCAAAACTGGCCCAGCCAGTGTGGCTCAATTTCTTGAGCAGTGTCCCAGGCACCAAGAGGTCAGAGGTTTGATTCCTGGCCAGGGCACATGCCCAGGACTGCGAGCTCGAGTCCCAGTAGGGGCCGGGAAGGAGGCAGCCTCTCCCACTCTCTCCCACTCTCTCAAATCAATAAAAACATATTTTTAAAAAAATAAAAACAATCCAAAACTGAAGGAAAGGACTCACTTTGGTGGGTTCTTCCCACAGAGAAGACTGAGAAAAAGACAGGGGCTGGTGTGCCCTTCTCTATTCCTGGGAACAAAGAATATAGATTCTACATACACAGAAGGAGCCAGGGTGAAGGTGGGGGGAAGAAAACCACCTGTCCACAGCCCTCTGCCCCTCCACGTGTTAAAAGCTTCGGTAGGACAAGGTGTATCGTAACCAAAGGAGTCATGAGAGAGATTTAGGCACAGCCATGTGTACCAGAGATAATTATAAATAAGATAACTACAGACAAACCAGTGTCCCAAGATGGGGCAACTTGTCTGTAAATTACATTAATCATATCTTAGACTGTTATATGACCATTAGAAATAATAGTGTGCTGAAGGCCT